AAATGCCCAAATAAAACTCAGACATGAGGCATTTGAACGTGTGATGATAGAAATGAATGACGTAAGCTTTTTAAATTAATAAACCATCAAACAGGCACCAGATAGACAACTGGTCTAAACAAAATACCGTGCCAGCAACTTGTGGTTTGTGAAAATTAAATCATTCGTGGCACATTTGGAAAACCTCCCTCATGTTTGAGATGTACATGAACAAAATGGCCCAGAGCTACTCAGTGATTTACTTGCCATTATCTATGGTTATTGTACCTGAGCCTTGTATATATTCCAGGTTAAAGCAGATTGTCATATGAGGACTTTTTGTTACTAAATTAGGTATAAGTACTACTTTGGTCGCCTTCATCAATCACTGGAACTAATGGTTTGGAAATTATCAAATAAAGAGGTTCTAGGAAAAAGTATTGAATTCTAGGATCAAAACATTAGGAATGTATAACCATCGGGGGCCTGTAATAATAATAATAATTATCCTTGCATTTGCCTTATTTGCATCTCAAAACACTTCGAAGCGTATTGTTATTGGTTAACATTTGCCTTATTTGCAAAGTAATATTGCGAGGTGATTAGATGAAATCAAAAGAAAGAACTTGCATTGTTATAATGCGCTATTATGGTGAAATTTTTCAACATTTGTTTAGGGTCAGCCGAATGTCTGACACTAGAGGAAACCCATCACATCATCAGGACACCACTGGTAGCAACTCTCATTTCCAATAGTGTCATGGGATCGGAACAGACAAAGAGTCTCGGTTTAACAGCTCATCTGAAAGACTGCACCTCTGACAGTTTCTGCAGTTTGCCTGTTCACTTGCGGATAGGGGAAGGGAGGGAACATTAGTCACTCTTTCTTGGAAGTTTTGGAGCGGCAATTTGTGGGGAGCTTTTGGGGATTGCAGTGCGGTATACCTTGAAGCATGGGAATTCCTGTGTGTCTGTGGCCTGTTTAGTCCAAAAGCTCATGTCTCTGAACTCGAACCATTTGTGAGTCATACACTGGGCTCCAGACCTCAGCCTAATAACCCCCGCAATTTATTTAGTCAGCAGTGGTGGATTTGTTTTGCTGACCCACCAACTGGTACTTTGAAAGGTTTCTGTTTGACAATGGAATTGCCGGCTCAGGGAATTTGAAGATGGTTACGCTTGTCAAGTTTGTTCTCGGCTTTACCATGATAACCCGAGAGGAAAAAAAATTCCTAAACTTGTGCCAAATTCAGTGTACGCCTTGCATTTGTAACTCATTATTGTCATGTTGGTCTGCTGAGATATGTATGGCAGATTTCGAAACAATTTAGCATACAAATCAGGAGCTTATTATTTTTATTATTATTATTATTGGTTAGCTTCCTGAAATAGTGGTTGACTTCTTCCACCATTAGCAGTAGTCACCTACCACAATCTGTTTAGGAACATTGTTTCTCCTCAGCATTTTTCCAGCTAATCGTGTGAGTGAGTGACTCCTCTCGGCTCTGATCTGGACTTGCTAGACTTCTTTTGCGCTCGTGATTTCACAGACAATAACCTGGGTGAGCAATACAGTGCATGCATTTCCTGCATGCCACCAAGGCTATGTTAAATCATGGATTTTCATTTTTTTTTACAAAATAAATAAAATAAACTTTCCCCTTTAAAGAATGGACCTTGTGTTAAACTGAGGTGCCATCTGACCATTCAAGTGGATAGTCAAGAATCCATACTACTATTGAAAAAGACGAGAGATTCTCTTCCAGTATCCTGGTTAACAATCATCTAGATTAAGTGACCATTCACCACCTGGATGTTTGTTGAACTTTGCTGTCTTATTTGCTCATCAAAATTGGTCACTATAGTTGATGATAATTGCTTCAATGTGGGAACGCGCTATAAAATAAGGAAATGTTTTTTTATTATAAATAATTATCAATAAATAGTATGCACAAATCAGTGACTGCTGTAGAAGTAAATATTTGCTTAAGATGAGGTTTACAGCAGTAAATAAATACAATGTGTTGCCTTCAACCCAGTGTGTGCAGTCGAATTGTTTTGTAACAAAGTACAGCTGTGGCCATGGAGACTTTCTGGTCTAATGAACACGAGTTGGAACTGGAGTTGATTTTGGAAAAATTCCAGGGAGGAATTCAGGTGATGTAAATGAGAGGTCCGTTTGAGTAAAGCCATCGGAATTTAAGATAGAATTACAAACATTAGGCCTTCGCTGTGTTCTTTTTCACTTCAAATACTGATTAAAGTTAGATTCTCATTGACCACTGAGGATAGCTGATGGTGGTGTCTGTGTGCGAGGAGAGATCAGAGCTTGATGACTGCAGGTCAGAAATGGAGGCGAGTTTTTACAAGAAAATATTTATTGGAATGAATAAGTTGAAGAAACCTGGAGGTGTATGGTGTTTGTAATGATATTTGCGCTGCGACAGTGTTCAGAATCAATTCCTTTGATGTGATAGTTCTGCCAGAAGCAGTGGAAGATGTGAGCTGGGTGCAAATGGTGTAATTACTGTATAAAGATATCAAAATGGTTGATGGCATTTCACTGGGACAACGAAGAAACATGATACAGTTCATATGTGTGTGAGTGTATATGCCATAGTTTCACATCTGCCTTAAAATTTCCTGCAGTATCAGTCATTTGCGTATGCGATAAAGGCATCAAGTATTAGTTCACTTAGCTTAAATTTGATCTACCACTTTATTTGAATAAACTTCCGCATCCTCTACATACAAACAGGAGTGTACCAAAGTAGTATAGCAATTTGTGCGGGGATGATGAATGTCTATGCCTTCAAGGCTGATTGATGTGCAGCTGCTCTGCAATGTGAAGACAACAATTCAAAGCATGGCAAGCTGCAAGTAGATGTTTTTCCCATCACCTTGAGGTATCCCTCTGCATGTTGAGTAAAGCTACTTCATGTGTAGAGTGAACGTCACATCACAAGATTGGGCTGCATTAAGAAGGCCCTTTGAGCCATCTGATCTCACCCCTTCAGAACACCCACTAAATATATTGCTTTTTAAATGAGTCTAATGTCCTTGCCCCTACCACCTTTCCTGGCAAGCTGTCCCAGTTGTTGATTACCCTCTGGGTAAAGAAAAACTTCCTGAAGTCTATCCTGAAGTTGTCCTTTAACTCTAAGCCTATGTCCTCTTATTCTACTGTCATGATACTTCCTAAAATGTTGATCTGGCTTTACATTTTCAATTCCATTTAAAATTTTGCACACCTCTATGAGGTTCCGTCCAAGTCTGATGCCTACACAAACACTGATTTAGATCTAATCCAGAGTTTTTCTAGGTAAAACATGTTCTGCAGGTCTGAAGTAGACTGCAGCAAAACAGATGTGAAATAGAGCTCAAAATAGCCAATATGCAGTGGCTTGATCTTATTATGGGACATAATAGAAACAATGGAAATAAATGGACTATAGACATTACCCAGATACAGCAGAGTGAAGGAGGGTAGCTTGACCCTCCCTTGTGATACCAATTCATATTGTGTATATTGGATAATCCTGGATTATGTTGCTTCTAATTGTATTTTTACGCAGTCTCCTTCCTGCTTTCCCTTCAAACAACCCAAACCTTATGCGGATGAATGGTGCTGATTTCACATTTGTATTGACTTTTAAGTGCGCTTATTTTATTTCACGTATAATATATGGCCTCGTGTTTGTATATCTCAAGTGAATGTCTATAACTTGTAATATATCAGTGTCATCTATGCAACGAACTGCACCTGCAGAATGTTTCCGTCTGTTTAATATAAATGAGTCTTAAGCGATTTACTCTGGCCACCCTGTGGTTAGTGAGAGAGAATGCAATCACTTGCAATAATATCCTGTTAGTCTGATATTAAAAGAGATTATCCTGCTTATTTTAGCAGATTCAAATGCTTTTCAGTTACATTCAGACGGAGAAAAAAAACACCAGTGTATGCTGTTATTCAGCCTAAATCATGTTGCGGGATCATTTCTGGAGCAAGGTTTTGTTTGATTGACAGTTTGTTTATACCGAGATGTGGTGCTGTTATTGAGGCTCAACAATCAAATTTACAACCTGCAGTTTTCTGGGAAAAAACCTCGGGAACCTTCCTGAAACAGGTGAAGAAACAAATTGGCCACCCATGGTTATCACCAGTGACTCAGCAATCTTCCAGCCTGTATCCCAGGTGAGATAATTTGCTTGAAGAAAGTGTAGAAACTTTCAAAGAAGTGTGCTTGAGATTTTCCCATTATAAGCCACTATACTTTGGAGCAAGGAATGTCTCGTCATAGGTGCGCTAACTCTTTGCTGCTGTGGCAAAATTTAAGATCAAAATGAAGTATAACAATAAGATTCAAATGTAACGCGAAGCAAATAATTGAACTAGTCTTCCACATAATGTGAAGAAGGGTTATGTCAATGGGGATGGTGTGGTGCATAATGATGGTCACAATATTAATAATAACACTTGCATTTGATATACTACCCGATCATAGAATTGAAACATCTTAAAGTACTTCTCAAGATTTTACTGTAAAGCGTAGTGACTGGGTATTTGTAGGAAAACACAGCAGTCAATTTGCACCCAGCAATATCCTACAATTTTATGGGGGATTGTTGGCCAGGGCATCGGCAGAAACTCCCTTGTCTTTTTGAATAATGCCATGGGATCTTTAACGTCCAACTGAACAAGTAGATAGGATCTTGGTTAATCGTTTCATCCGGACCGTGGCACCTCCGACAGTGCAGTGCCCCCCTCGCTTATGAGATCAAAGTCTCAACGAGGGACTTGAATTGCAATCTTCTGCCTCAGAGGCGAGCGAGTGCAAGTGTATGTGGAGTAAAGGGGGTGAAAAGCATGATAAGTGTGAAATGCTTGTACATAATTTGTACAATGCTGGTGCTGGAAGTTTGTTGAAGTCTGCCGATCAGTTCACATCAACCAGATATTTAACAGGGGCTTTTTTCAGCAAAATGCTAAATATCCCGATCATCATTTCAATAGACATTTCTTTAAATCTGTAATCAACTTTAATATTTTTATATAAACAATCAGTAAAGAACACACAGAATTATACAATCATTTAAACGTCAACAGGAAATAAAACTTTTATTGAACACTAGTATAATATTCAGTTATATAACATCAGAAACTCCACAGTGTAATTCACTACACAAAGTGAAACAAAATATAAACACCTCATCAAAAATTAAGGTTTACAGAGCTCTACTGGTCAGCTCGTTGGTCACGAGCAAAGTGGCAGAAAAAAACATCTCAATATTTCTACAAGATACAGAGAAAGTTCACATGTAAAATACTTAAGCAGGCAGGTAATATACATAATCATACACAAAGGCAACTAGTATCATTCTACAGCATCTGGCTCTAATACTTTACGCTTCATTTTCATAAAGATTAGATTTATTGTGGCTTTTTGTTTATTGAAGTGTACCAGTCGTTGCTCAGTGAATAGAAAGGAAAGGGGCACCTTCTGGCTATGGCTGTACTTTTTAAAACACAGAGAAAACACTAAATAGTGATTTTACGAAAGGATTGTAGTAATTTTTTGGCAGTGTATATATATCTATTATCTTGCTCTTGTAGATTAAATCTGCACATTAACATTGGTTAGCATTTAAGTGGCAGTTCCTAATGCAATGTGCTCGTTGTGTAACCTTTGTATTAAAATCCTGAGCTAAGAGTATGGTAGTATATGCTAACGGCTGAATACCTAAAGCTTTTTGTTGCTTCATTTTAAGACAGAGTACACCATCTCAGGAACTCTATTTTCATGACCTTTGCGTCTAGATTGCACAGTGCTCAAAAAAGATGCTATATGATTATTCTGTTCCTGCTATTTCTTTTAATAAAATACACCTCTCGTACATAGCCTTACAGTTCTATATTGGTCCAAAGTTTAAGAGAACTGTCTGTGCTATGCAGGCATTCAACGTGGCAGTAGAAAGGAATGATTATTGTGGCAAATCTATGCCTAAATCAGAATTACGATTGAATAAATTTGCTGCTATCCACTGAAGAATGTACAATTCTAAGCACACACAGCAGTCACAGTGATACACAGAGCAGTCCTTTAGACTCTAATGGAATGACTGATAGCTTTATAATAGTGCCATTGACTACATTATCACATGAAACATTTAAAAACTCCTCCTGAAGTAAGCACCTAGTAAGTGCAAGAGGTCCGCCAAAGTGTACAAAGCTAGACTATCTATTTCAGTACATTTTTGTCCCTCTTGCTTATCTTTACCTAAGATGAATTTCCATCTTGGTCTAGAGGCTTACAAGAAGGAAATCACTGGAATGCAGAAGATATATTTACCCAATAATATATAGCATCAACTTTCCTATTTCTCCGTCAATTTACATAGTTTAAAATAGAACATCTTATTAAAAACATCTAGATATGCACGGGATTAAGAAACGCTAACAACATACAAACACACAGACTAGAAATCATTTATCAGCTTACTGTTATGTACAACTGTGTGATACATCATTTCAGTCATGCTCTATCTACACAGATCATATTGCTTAAAAGGATGAAACAGGTGGAGAGTATTTAGTGTGATGAAATGTTTCAAGGGGCTTTAGTTCCACTAGACCTACCATTGATGGGGGGGCCGGGGAGGGGAATGAATGAATTGAGGAAATACAACTTGGTCTAACATTCAGGGTGGCAATGGGGGATCAGTCTTACTGAGGTATTTACAGATACTAACTGTGAGAACTAAATGGAGAAACATTGAAAGGCTTTTTTTAAATTTTATTTCTTGAGCCCAAGAGCAACATCTACCTCCTCCTCCTGCTGTAGGGTGTGCCACTGTGCAATGGGTCGCCTTGGGTTGGCCAACATGTCTGACCAGTGTCGCAGCTCTGCCGCAGTGCTATTGTAGCCCACAAAAACTTTGCCGATAGCATCGTTCTTGCCAATCTTGTCATAGTCCAGGACAGTAACAACAACTTGCACTTTCTGTGGGTGTAAAAAAAAATATTAGAACATTATTAAGATCTGGAATTGAGGGAATGGTATTCAATACTTGACCTCCATTCTTTACTCAATACATAGTTGAGTCATTTGATGTGTTGTGTAAGGTGCTGTATTAATGTAAGTTGTACTGGAATCCAAATTTTGTATTTATATCAGGATGCTTTCCCATGCAATAAGATAATGGCAGAACTAAGGTCAGCCTAAACCTTACATAAATGCTTATTTATGGTGAACTGTTGTGCTTATGAAGGTGCAGAGGATCAGTATTGGAGGAACAGGATATTTCTATGTTTGGTACTTGGTATCAAACACTCTCAGCTCACTTACAAATAGCATATGAAGCTTTTCCACTTCACCTTACAAAATCTCCTTAACCTGTGAAGAATACTTCATTGTACCAATGTGCCATTTTTCTATTCACCACACCAGCCTTCATATGGCCTCCAAGTGCAATTGCTAAATTTGTACCAAACCTTAGGCTGTCATGAGGAACTGGATTGTACAGATTGTACATGCACCACTGTTGGGAAACGCACAAGCCTCTCCCGATAGCCTGAGACAAACCACAAACAATATATGGGCAAGGATCCATGTCTGAGCATTCTGTGACACAGCGTAATGAAAATCAATTCACTCATTCAGGGAGAACAGTTTCTCAGATACTCTCATCATTTCAGATCACAATATCTTTCCCTACAGCACTATCATACCTTTTCTTGAGAAAAAATATTAACCCTTTGATGCCAGTGATTTCTGATTTCCACCACTGAACCAATCTTACCTCAAGCGGATACATTTTACCTCTTGTTCTGTTGGCCGCTAATACGATTATTTACCCAACAGGGAGCCTCGTGTTTTGAATGTGTTTGTTGGTGATTGGGCTGCTGTCTATATTGTCATCAGCAGTGCTCTGGAATACTGTGGACCCACATGACTCAGGAACTGGACTACCGAGACCGCCACAGATTCTGTTTTTTTTNATATTCTTACCCAACAAAATCAATTTTTTTACTCTTCACTCTTAATCCGCCAAATTTGGAGTTCTGTTGCCACTCCACATTTTGCCGGTTTAAGATTAAAAGGAAAGGCGTGGTTTGAGCAGCACTTGGTGGGTTAAGTGTTAATTCTCTCACCTTGTAACCAGACACATTGCTATTACATAGCTGCCAAGCCAAGTGACGGTGTTAATGAAAGCATGCACACTTAGTAATTAACAAGAACGCTCATTGAATATTTATGAAGTCTGAAATTAGAAAATGTATTGTAAAGTTGCCTCCTGATTGACTTTACCTGTATCTGTTCAAATGGTACTTCAAAGCTGAATGACTCGTTGTAGTAAGGGTTAAGAGTGTTCTTCTTAATCGTTGTCTTCTTTTTCTTCAGCCTCTTGCCATTCTGCATCAGGTGAATCTTCACGTAAGGATCTGGGGGAAGTAATGGTGAGGAGCCAGACTGGGGTTAAGTGCTGCTTTGAAGCTCAAAGCACAAAATGCATTTGCAGACAGCGCACATATTTTTCACCTATAAAATATACAGTGAATTCACTTTAAAGTATATCCTGTGAAGCGCTTTGAGATGTCTCAAAGTCGTGATAAGGCGCTATATCAAATGCAAGGATTATTTTTTATTAGTTATTGGCTTTTTTTNAACTCCCTTTCCCTTGCCAAGAACAAAGTTTCATTTCTGTCTCGCTGCTTATTTCAAATCATTATTCACACATTCCCCATCCACATTGATGAGAAACAGATATAATATCTATTTTAAATACGCAATTTGATCAAACTGTTTTCCTTTAGGCAGTATTTTGATTTTTATGATTAAATGGGAATATTAATGGACTATCTTAGGACATCAAAACAACATGTACCAAATGGTTTTGTAGTTCTGCAAATTGGCTTTAAAATGATATGGTAATATAAATAAAATTGTTATTTGTTGAATTTAATTTTTAGTGGAGCTCCAGATATTTCATTTTCTGCTCGCTATAATGACTGCATTTAACGAGAATTTTTTTTCTCAAGTGATCTCCATTTTCTTTAAAATTATGTATTTACTAAATAGTCATGAATAAGTAAACTGATAGAGAATATGTTTTATCATTGTTTTTATGGAGAGTTGATCTTTCCACCAATGGAGAGGGAAAAGTACAAGTTTACCTTTTCGTAACTATGTATACCTATTAAATAGCACGACTGAATTAGCCGTTTCGATATTTCCAGGCATGCCATCAAATGTACATAGGATTTCTGTGAAATATCTGTCTGTCAACTTTCTACATAATCATTAGTCACTCAGTCTCCAGGTACGAAATGCTCTGAGACGTTAATTGGTTCAATAAAAGCTCTTTTTCTAATCCCATTTCCTTCCCTTTTCTCAGTATTCAATGATACTGATACTTACCCAGTCTGTATTTGACTCTCTCAATCATCTCAAGGCACTGATGCTGATCTTCAACCCTACATTTTAGTCTAAATGCAAATGCCACTATGGTTATCTTCAGAGCTGCTTCAGGATCAGATGAGTAGTGTATGGAATGTTCCACTATTCCCACCCAGTGACCAACTGCAGGAAAGGGCAACTGAGTTGGAACATCAGACAAAGCCAGTGAGCCCTCTGGCTGCGAGTCTGGTGCTCTACCACAGGCCAATACACTCATTTTTTGGAAAGAATTTATGTTTATACATAAATAATGAATATTTTGAGCCAAACCAGGCAATGTGCTAGAATAACTGGAAGACGGATGTTCACTGAAAGCAGCACTGTCCAAGTTGTCTCTTTGAAGCACTTGTACTTGTGGGCACTGTCCACTTTCCAATGCGTTTGAACAGTTATGCTTTTAGAAATATTATTTAAAATGTATTTGCTACTACTTTCTGAGATGGGGCTTCATTCCCTACCAGAGGCAATAGCATATGAGTCAATGCTCTCTCTTTTGCCTTACACAGGAACAGGAGTAGACCATTGAGCACCTCAAGCCTGTTCCGCCATTCTATTAGATCACAGATGATCTGTAGCTCAAATTGAAGGTAACCTGGATGCCATTTATTTTCTGAACTGTGAGGCTACTTTACAACCAGCAATAAGCATTACTTTTCCAGAGGTGCTGAGACACACATTCAGAGGTACTTTTCTTGTCACCTTTGGACATAGTGGGAGCATTCAATTACCAGTACAGTTTGAGTGCTCCATCTCTGTGCAGCCTGTTGTGTTGACTATATCTTCTCCTTCCACCAAACAGCCCAAGTGTTCAACGCCCCCCTCCCCCATAAAAGTCATTGCTATTAACTTTCTCCTCCCACGTCCCAAAGTCCCAAGTGCTCAGACGTGCTCTCCTGCTCTAACTGGCCCAAGTGCTCAATCTTTCTGATTCTTCCCCCCCATCAGGTCTTGCTCGTTCAGTCAACCTCACGTTCTTCTACACCAGGTCTGTTCAGACCTTTCCAAAACAGCAGGGCAGTTCCAGTGACCAGGCATGGATGTTGCAAACTGAACATAACAGTACTGTGGCTGCTGTATAAAGCAACACATGTATGTAATAAACTGAGGAAGGCTAAAATTTGAACTGCTCTCATCAGGAACGAAACCCTGTATCTCCGGGAGTGAGGGAAGCGTTTTACCACCGAGCAGCACTCTGCATGTGTTGTGCTGTTCTGCGTGCTCACATTCATAAGGAAAATCACTTGTCGCCACAGGAAAGCTTTCTCCACTGACTGAGAAGAACTTGGGTCAATCTCCCTTTGGTTACCATATTAGGAATCGGAATGTCTTGGAAAGTTTTTTTTTATTCTGATGGAACTGATTGATGGGAAACTTGTGCCTCCCAGCCAACAAAAGGAGATAAAGACTGAAACAATGGGGATAACATAACACTGGCTGTGGGAAGTGAAACACTTTCATTTTTTGTTAAAAGAAACGTTTTTCCAATACATTCATTTTGAAACACAAACACTTTGCTGCATTTGGAGATGAGAGATTGTTAAAGGCCATTAGCGAGGAAACATTCATCATGCTACAAGATTTTTGCTCGGGCACTTTAAAATTAAAGATTGAATTAGGGAATTTCAGGAGAAAATAATCATCAGTGCAAAAGGCTGGAGGCTACGAAATGCAGCATTCCTGTTGGTGACATTACACCCTACATGTACAGGCGTTGGCAAATACACTCTCTGAATAATGAGGTGCTTGTTTTTCCTTCAGCTACACCAGCTGCTTGCATGTTATTCAGTTAGTAATGTGCTTTTTTAAAATTGAATATACTCCGCTTTGATGCAGAAAGTTCATTTTTATTTACTTCCAAGATATCAGGCAGTAATTTTGTTCGGGGTATTTTGGAGAGAGGTTTAGTAACCCCATTAAGTAAAAGCAAAGATTAATAACACTGTCAGGACAGGGCAAGTTCCCTTCACATCTAATCTAATGGAAATAAATGCAAAGTTTTTCTAATCTGAGCTCAGCTTTTGCAATGAGCCCCCATTCCAAATACCCCGGCTTTGTCCCAAATGCACATCTTATTTGTTTCTCTTGAATTAAAGTGGCACATTAATTTACGTCTAAAATTTCTAATTTCAGACCTTTTAATGTTTTAGTAAACAACTGGGAAATGAGTTGCACACCTTGACTGTCTGTCTCTGCCACTGTGCCTTCTTTAAGTTTACCTCCTCATTCCCCTCGTTTAGATCATGACAGAAGACCTTCCTCTTTGACCATTCTTATGGTCAAGTCCTCCCTCCCCCCCGTCACCACGGCATCAGGCTCCGTCACTGTTAAGAGCTCCGTGACTCTGCCTCGCAAGAAAGGGCGCTATATAAATACAAGTAGTAGTTGTTGTTTTGTTGTTCCTGCTCCTGACACCACAGAAGAATCTATAAATGTTGGACACCCTTAACCAACTGGCTATTCTTCAATTATGACCCCTGGTCGTAGATGCTAATAATAGGAGAAGGAAAGTGAGATAGAGAGGATATCACAATCCTTTCCTCGTCCACCTTACACAAACACACTTTCCAACAAGGGTCGTTGGAAATCGGGTAAGGAAAGCTGGCTGGTTTTGTAACATCCTGTCTGAGATCAGATTAAAGATCAGAATTAGGGATTTTCCTACTTTAAATACCACACCATGTGGAGCGTTTACACAAAGAGCAATTAAGTGGCACAAAGCATCTTTACTGCACTTGCTGCCTTTCCCAAGGCAGCAATGATCAAGATTCAGATCGAGTGTGCGGATTTGTGAGCGTGAATCAGTGTCCCAATATTTCATGGCCCGTGCTGTTAATGCACCAAAAACAAGATCATGTTTTTTTTTGCAAACTGCTCAATGCACCTTGTAAATTTCAAGATGCTGCATATAATCATCACTTCAGAAAAGATAAACACTTTTTATTACTAATCCCATTAAGCATCTCTGTCCCTCTGGCAACAACTTGATTGTCAGTTTGAGACAGACTGCAATCAGTAAGATTGTGTTTCCTCCGCCCTGTTGGATTTGTGCGTCAACTAGTATTGCTGCTAGCGTTAAACACATTGATTTATCATTTTGCTTTCCATAAAATGTGGAATTGTTTCCAAAGAAAATCAACTCCAACTCATAGGCTGACAATCTACAAGTGGGGAATGAGCAGCAAATGCTAATCTGAGCAAAGAATGTTAGCGTCAGTAAGAATGAATGATTTCATTTTAACAGGAAAACACATTTGAGGTAAAAGTATAATTTTTACATTTTCCTCCACACTATTTTAGATATTATACAGCGTATAATAGTTTGATGCTGCAATGGGAAGATGTGAGGATAAATATTCTGGGAGGATGAGATCAAAAGGGCCGAAGGGCCTTCTTCATCCAAGCTTTTCTGCTGATCTGGTGAAGAGTTTATGTATCCAATACTTATTTTCTAGAATTATTGTGTGAATTTTTTTAAAAACCTTTTTTAAAAAATCAGAATAATCAGAAGCATCATAAGGCAATGGGGTTCCTCTGTCTAAACAGCTCATCTCTACTTGCAAATAAACTAGTAACCTTTAAAATCCCAAATTCATTTTGCATTGAAGCCTGGAACTGCAAGCTATTAGCCTCCTTTTGCCAGCTTCAACCGTTCTCATGGCGGGAGGCTGAACAAGGCGTCCTGCATACCAGAGGAATTCTCTATATCTGAGGAGGAAGGAGCCCCTGTTTTCAGAGTTGAACACACCTCCTGTTTGACCAGTCTTGGAAAAGACCACCAAATATACAGTCAATCTACTCCACAGTATATGGTGTGAAGTGTTTTGAGGTGTCTCAACGATGTGATAATGCGCTATATCAAATGTAAGGATCATTATTATTATAAAGCTGACCCAGGAGAAATCTGCTGCCTGGACAGTCCCACTTTTCCAGTCCACAGAAGAAACATAAAATAAGTGAAGGCGGTAAATACCAATTATAAATGATAAAGTATTGAATTCAACAGATGTAATAGGAAAAAGGAACAAAATGGCAATTCTGTTTGTGTAAACAGAAAATAATTTGATTTATGACAAGACAGATCTCATAATCTGCCCAGTTACACTATACAACGGGATTACAGAAACACTCTGCAATGGAATTAAGCAGTGTTTCCTACATTGCTCATTAATTTACATTGGTAGTTACAGTTGGCTGGATAGGCTATATGGAATCCATCAATAAGAGAATGAATATTTTTGTAACAATGCTACTGAACAAGATTACTGAGGAGGAAATTTACTTCAAGATACTTTAAGTTTTGATGTATTGAATGTGATCCAGGCAAGTAATGTAGCACGATAGATACGGAGCTTTCTGGATATAGAATTTAGAGTGGGTGGTGGAAGATGTATTGGTTTTGTTTCTAACAGCAGAAACTTTCCTTTACTTTCCCTTACTGTAAGACTAGAGGATACATTTTGTTCACTGATGTTAATGCAAGTTGCAGTTTTAAGCACCATAGCTCAAAGTGTGAGTTTATTCTGTGACAACCATTAGATTGCAATTAACAATGTGAAGTCTGTTGCATCACCCAACACTGGTCAAAGTGTTCTCACCACTGTCTGTATTAATAAGGACTGCGAGGAGATAAAATACTGCACGTGGTATGTGTGTGTGTGGCATTAAGTAATCTTAGTGCTGTGCGTTAAAAACCTAATGTTCTGCAGTGATAGTATAAACACTATGAAAACTAATTCCCCTTTTTTCGTCCTTTCACTTGGCACAGTTTGTACCTATTGATAACTCTTTAAACATTATGATAGAACTCAGTTTTTGCAAGATTAAAATGTTCCCATCAGCATCGCAACCTTGCTATACTGGTGTTTTTGCACGTGTCTGCTCAAGATGGTCTATTTGTATGTTTTATCTATATTTATCTTTAGTACTGATGATAATAATAATAATAATTCTTGCATTTGATATAGCGCTTTTCACGTCGGGAGGACGTCCCAAAGCGCTTCACAGAATACACTGTAAAGTGAATTGACTGTATATTTGTGGGCGAACGCGGCAGCCAATTGCGCACAGCAATGTCCCACAAACAGTCGTAGATTGAAAATGACCAATTTATTATTGTTTTTGGTTTTGGAGGGATTATTATTAGGCTCTGTGTGGAGTAAGGAAACTTGCCCAAGGTTTCGCCCTCTGCCTGGAATTGAACTCAGGTCTCTCGCTTGCAAAGCGAGTGCTCTAACCGCTGAGCTACAGGACTCCACATTCAGAGAGCATAGAGCATTATAAAAGGGAAAAAGGAGCGAGCAAGAGAGTGGGTTAGATTAGGTAGCTTAGGTTGCGAAAAACACCAGTCCAGACTTGATGGGACAAATCCCCTTTCTATACCCTTGACTGTTGCTTAGTGGAGTCCTAGTTGACTGTAGCTTAGTGGTTTGAGCACTTGCCTCATCATCGAGAGGACCTGGAATTGATTCCCGGACAGGGTGAAATGCTGGGCAAGTTTCCTTACTCCACACGCCTCTGTTTACCTAGCAGTAAGTAGGAACCTGGTTGCGATTGGCAGGTCGCTTTTCTGCGGGTAATAATACCTTCATAAGTAAATAAATAATAATAATTTGGTCACTCAATCCACGACTCTTTGCGGACATTGCCGGGCGCAATTGGCTGCCACATTTTTGCCCACAAAATATGTACTCAATTCACTTTACAGTGTATCCTGTAAAGCGCTTTGAGACGTCTCGACGACGCAGTAAGGCGCTATATCAGATGCAAGGATTATTATTATTAATAATAATCATGTTCTGTCACATGGAGGATACTGATGGGAAGGTATGCTATTTACCTTTCACTCTTCTTTTCTTTCAACTCTGTCTCCTGTGATGCCCTAACACTGTGGCCCTAAAGTAGCTGAGAGAAAAAGTGGTGCATCCAAGTACCATCCCTAACATAACAACAACAAGATTACATTTGTATAGCGCCTTTCATGTCAGGAGGATGTCCCAAGGCGCTGGACAGAGTACAGCATTTCAGACCTGGGTTGGGGGGGAAGGGAGGGGAAGGGGGTGGCCGATGGCATGGTCGAAGAGGAGGGTTTGGGACTTGAAGGAGGCTAAGGAGGGGGCGAGGCAGAGTGATTGGGAGTTGGAATTCCAGAGGTTGGGGGCAGAGTGGCTGAAGGCTCTCTCGCCAATGGTGGGGCGGGTGGGTCGGGGGACGTGGAGCAGCCAGAGCCGGCTGAGTGGAGGGAACAGGCGGGTTGGTAGGGGGTTAGGAGGTCGCATAGGTAGGGTGGGGCGAGGCCATGGAGGGCTTTGTATGTGAGGACCAGGATCTTGAACTGGATCCTCTGAAGGATTGGGAGCCAGTGGAGTCGAGCGAGAATGGGGAAGATGGTGTCAAGGAGTTTGGTGCGGGAGAGGACACGGGCTGCAGAGTTCTGGATTCTCTGCAGCCTGTGGAGGGAGGAGTTGGGAAGGCCGACAAGCAGGGCATTTGCGTAGTCGAGCCTGGAGGTGATGAAGGTATGAACAAGAGTTTCAGCGGCCTGAGGGGTGAGGTAGTGATGGAGTCGGGCAATGTTACGGAGGTGAGGGAAGGCAGAGCGGGTCATGGCTTGAATGTGGGGGAAAAAAGACAGTTGAGAGTCGAACAAGACACTACTTGAATTAGCCATCATCAGGCAACTTAAAGAGGTGGTCTCTTGAGCTTCTGTCACAACAGCAACACACACAGATTAAATACTTAGTAGAGCGTGAATGGGAGGGGAACGTGTCAAGCAAACATTCCCCATTCCATCGTGCAGCATCACTGTGTAGCTTTAACGTACTACGTGACACTCGATAGACTGCCTGGCAGTCTGTCGGTTACTAAACAACTATAAAACTTTAAAGTGATGCCAGTTTTTTAAAAAAAATATAATTGCAGTCTGAAAGTTTCGCAATTTTATGTCATTATGTTTACATTTGCATCTGCTGCACTGTTTAACCTTTGCACTTTCTAGCGATTGTCAAAATAAAATGTTGAACAACAGGATGAGTCTCTCAGTGCTGACTCTATTGTAAACAGATTTTTTTCCAGCTAGCAGTCAATCAACACATTTACTTTGGCGATGTATGAACCGCACAACTACCAGGTCGCTAAACAGCTGGATTGAAGTTGCTTTTCATGGGTGGCCCTGCCTAGTGAGATTATTGATCATTGCTTGCTGGGCTGAAAACTACACAATTTAGAAGCTGGACTCAGACGAAATCTGTCCACTCCCAAGAAAGTTTTGTGAGGCTTTGGACAACAGGGTTCAAAGAGGGTCAACGTGTTCAAACACAAAGTTATTGTTTGGAATGCAATCAAACCGACCCAGCAATGAGTATTGAAAGGCTAATTTTATCTACACAGCAGCAGTTTCCTCTAAGCACATTCTATCGACTTTCATTAATAGAGCACTTCTCATATATTAAAAAAGGGAGTGTTCAGTCATCTCTTATCTCCTCTAGCCAGCAGTCACTCCATAAAAGTTATGGGTCATAACAGATGTTGATATTTCAGCTAGATAAAAAAATCGCATATTATCACCTACCTGACAATCCACCCACGTCCATCTTCTTTAAGTTCTTTGCCTCCAGAATGACAACAGTCAATTTACCAGCCGTCGGCACATAGCGGAGAGAGAAACAAATATCACCCAGCTTCTCTTGCTGTAAGAGGAAAGCAAAGCAAACACATCAATTGAGAATCAGATTTAATAAATGTCAGTCTTATTTGACTGCTCAATAATAATGTTTTTCTTTTAAGCAAGACACTATAGTCAGCATCAATTAACAGAATCTGGTTTTATTTTGCAGCTCGTGGGATGTATTTTAGTCTTTATTATTGCTTCCCGAACGCACGATTCACTCTGCGAGTTTTCGCAGAACATCTGTTACAGCAGGATCCACCCCAGCTAATGGAGTGACGTATTTAAGCACATTTTGCTTTGATGGAAGAGTTCAGTTAACCTGCACTTTGAAGCGTGCCAGTTTCTAATATACACCGTATTGAAATTTTCCGTAGTCTGTGGGCAGAGAGAAAAAAAATCAATTTGAAATCAAAATAAAATAATTTATAAATGAGAACTGATCTTAATCGAATGTGAGGCACTGTTTCAATCTTGCATGAGGTAAGTTTCCAAAACAATGTTAATGTGAAGATGGAACAAACTCTCAGGACAAGAACCATTTCATGTTAACTCCCGCCTGCCCCCAGCCCAGTTTTCACTTGCCCCTCCATGTGAACAAAATAGAAATTATAGGTTGCATTTGTGCCCAAAACAAGGCCAGCCCTATAACACTGAGCTTCTTTTCAACCCAGATGCTGTTACAATTCAGCTATCCTTCCCCACCGCTATCCTTTAGAGCTTAACCGGGAGCCTTTTTCCACCCAAGACTCCTTCACTTTGATAGGATTATTTCCTCCTTCAGGCAAAGGATTAATTTAATTTCGCATTGTTTCCCACGTTAATGATCCCATCTGAACACTTTCTTGGATTACTGCACTTAATCCAGTTAATATATCTCTAATCCTGTGTGTAGTTTTATACGTGTAATCGGATCCGGACTACTGTTTGAGTGGCAAAACTGGAGGTGACAATGGTTTCTCTGCTGTCAGGTTTTATCACAAACCTCTCGATTCATCAAAAGACGGTACAAAGTAAAGGTGTTAAATGTTGCTCTCGCTCCATGTTTCTTTAGAGAAAAGTTGGAAAATCAGTATTCCCGTCCTGTCTCCACAACTCCCAGTTCCAGGTTAGATAAGTGAGCAGTTATAATCTTACCGGAACTAAATGACACTCAGTCACATATTTATTAAAATGTCATATCTGCAAGGATATTTAAAACCAGGTTGTCATGCTGGGAGCACTCAACCAGACTGATATGTGGGCTCCAAGGAGCTGTTAGTTGAGAGACCAAAGAAGGTGTTTATTTCACATAATCTTTATGTTGCAACACAAATGCCACAGTTCCTCTTCTTTTCATTTTACAGCTAAAGCATATGACCTATTACACAAATGAGCTCCCATTGTTAATCAGCAGCATTTCGGTCTCAAAATTACACACGCTTCTATATTCTGCGTGCAAATTGACTGCCATATTCGCCAACAAATACACAGCTGCTGCACTTTACATTAAAATCCTGACAAGTGTTTGAGATGTCTCAGTAACGTGATAAGCTGCTGCATTGAATTACTATTTTAATTACTGAAATCGAACAACGCTATGGATTGAAATATTCCTTGCGCTTTGACATATTCCTGTGTTTCAGAATAATTAGAATTTCCTATATAACCATTCTGTAAATAATGTGCAAAATAGACATTTTAAAAAAAGGGCAGATAAACTGAATACTGGGTATGGCCTTTAGCCTCTCCGCCACCCTTGTTCCCTCCCTTGCCTACTTCAAGGTATGTCTCAAGACATTCCTCTTCGACCGCACCTTCAGTCACACTCCTACCCCTATCCTGCCCCTTCCTGATCCCAACCCACCAGCTTGGGTCCAAATCTCTGATTGTCCAGCGTCTTGGGACATCCTCCTGATATGAAAGGTGCTGCACAAATGTAATCTATTTTTGTTTTTACGTAATCAATTTAATAATTTTCTGGTAAAACCTAAAAAAAAACTGCAAGTAAACAAAGAGTTTGCTGCATGTGAGCAGAGGAAAAAAGAAAGGCAACTATAATGTGTTGACAGTCTCATGTATTTACTGAAACACAAGGGTGCATTCAGACCACACATCACAATGCTGAAAGCTGTCTGTTACCAGAGGCCAAAATGTCAAAAACAGAACTGGTTGTCCTATCAAAAAAGTGCCCAAACATTTTCACTATTTCAGCAAATAAATCCTCTCGCAATGTTTCCAGCTCCCTCAGTCTCTCCAGCAATGCCTGCAGCGAGATGCTATGCTCTAATGATCCCATCTCATTCCATTTTGCCACTCGGCTTAGTTTGGCTTCCACCTGATAATATTCTTCAATGTCTCATAGGTCTGTGCAGGCCATTGCACAACACAAAATTAATTTCACTCAAAGAGGAGCGCTAATAATATGACTTGTGACAACACGGATGCCAGATGAACTAGAACGTGTCGTACAGTGATTGAGCAGAGTGATTATCCGACACAAAATGAAATTCAGTTTAACTGGTTGTAACATCAAACCGAACCAAACAACAAGTGGGACTGGCTTTTAGCACTTCACAACAATCTTGAAATTAAATGCGGCAGAACTTACATTGATTTATTGGCACCTTTTATGTCGGGAACACCTCTCAAAGCATGTTACACAGCGGACTAGGTACTCGACCCCCCCCCCCCACAGAGGGGAAGAGGGGGGGGCAGTTGTGGAAGCCAACGGAGATGTGGGGGCAAAGATGACCCTTAGGGGTACATCTTGATAACGTAGATTATATTATTGTTTGATTGTTCACCAATGCTTCTAAAAGCCTGCATCTGAGCTGTCACAACAACAACAACAACAACAAATTGTACTTATAAAACGCCTTTCATTTTGGGAAGATGTCCCAAGTCGCTAGACAGTCAATGGTTTGCACCCAAGCTGGGGGTTGGATGCGGGAGGGGTGGGGGCCAAGGGGGATAAGGATGGAAAGATGACCGAAGGTGCGATCAAAGAGAAAGTCTTGAGACAGATCTTCAAGGAAGGCAGTATATCAATAGCATTGACAGTGATACAGGATTAAACACGGTTTTATTCTTGGACTTTGTTGCCTCCAGGTCAGGTCTGTGGTTCGTTACGCCAGAAGAAATGTCCCAGAATGGAATTTTTCCTTTTAACTGGCATTAAACATTATTTTAATGAGGAAATATGCCTTTAGGCTTGGGAGCAGCCAACTTCCATTGTTGCCACGACGATGCCGGGAATGATGCAGCCAATGCCGTGGACTTTTGTTTTTATTGTTATAATGACAAATCAAATTGATGGTATTCACAAGGAGAAAAATGCATTAGATTTATTGTAAAAAAAAACGTTGCAGCTGATTTTTGAGTAGATGTGTTGACATTTCATTAGATCATTGTTATTCTCTTCTCTGCCCTTGGCAAGAAGAGGAGGAAGTGTTAAGCAGTGTGTAGGTATTTGTAGCGTGAGTGCAAATTGGTGGGTGCCAGATTCACAAGCAGAATAGTTAAATATAAAACGGAACTGACAGAGTGAAATTAAGATCAGGTACCACACTGATAGTCTTACATAACTATGTGTCCTTTCAACGGGTGGAAAAAAATGTAGAATTCAAGAGCATTCGAAGACTTGAAGTGAGCTACAAAGATTTTGTTCCTGAATTAATGAACCCAGTAACTCAGCACTGTTGCGGTATTTTGCTTGTTGTATGGCCTTTGACGTGAAACTAAAACATACCAAACAAACAATTTCTATCTCGTGTGATCTGGTAACTGTGGCAAACTGCTTATGTTTTCAGAGAACAGACAGCAACCACCACACGCCCGGCATTCTCAACTCAACAAATACGGCTTCTATTTTTTTTGGATTCCAGCTTTGAATTCTGCTTCACTGGAGCAAATGTCAGGCAATCGCTGTTTCATTAGCACCATTGCCTCACAAACATGGAGTACTTACAAAGACTACCAATATTGAATAGATGCATCATTGCAATATGTCCACCATCCCACCAGATTACCAATTAATAAATGATGCATTACATTCACGTTGAGGCAGTATTTGGGGTTTTAATCGTTTGGGTTTCCCAGCCAGAAGAGCCTGAGGATCCTCAACTCAATGAGACTGGAAGCAGGTGAAGATTCACAAACACTGGAGCTGCACCAGAAAGTTATCTTGATTTTTAAAAGAAGATTTGGAAATTAACATGTGGATGCCTTCACCCCCAAACTGCAAACTGCAGGAGAGCCAATGGAGATTGGGGACAATGCAGTTAAAAAAAAATCTCTTCTTAGTCATAAGAAGTGAAAGAATCTTTTTCTTTTTTAAAACTAAAAGTGGAATAAAATGTTTTTTGGATCCACATATGGATTGATCACATATAATAATAATAATAATAATAATAATAATCCTTGCATTTGATATAGCGCCTTATCATTGAGACATCTCAAAGCACTTCACAGAATATACTGTAGAGTGAATTTACTCAATATTTTGTGGGCGAAACAAGGCAGTGAATTGCGCACAGCAGTGTCCCACAAATAAGCATGGACTGGGTGACTAAAGTATTATTGATCACATGTAGCTATACGATATACATAACAGGGTATATTTTGTATGCATTGTGGGCCGAGTGGGATTGATGGGCTAAATGTTTTTTTCTCTAGTTTCCACTTTCTTATGTTGTTTTCCTGCAGGTTTATCTCAACAGCAAGGTCCTAGGTCAGTCTGTAGCACAAAGTGCTACACCCTAATGCACAGAAATTAATACACGAGGAATGTGTAAAGTAGGAATACTGTATGTGAAATGCAGCTTAATCTCACCCTGGATTTGAATGAGATTTAGGACAATTACCTCCTCTTTCTCAGCCCCCTGCAGATCACGCCACTCTTCAGTTACATGACCAAAGTCCACAGTGTTCATAGGCACTTTTACTTCTCCAATGACATCATGTTTGGAGAATCGATCAAAGTCGTAAACTGCCATCACCAGGGTTTTCCCTCCCAGCTCGGCATATGGAATCTGGAGGAGGTAATGAAGAATAAATCCACATAGTAAAGAAGAATTCACCACCATGCAAATCGATTTCTCTGTTCTTTCACCTGTCACCTGGATTAAATTGAAATTGGTAAAAATTATGAATTGAATTTTCTTATAGAAATCACTGACAGAGTATCTCCTGAACCTAGTCAAGAAGTCAATAGCTGCTTTGTGGCAGTCCACATATCACTGAATAAGAGTTATCCAACCCAATCACTTGTGGATATTACTTTGCTAGAACTTTAGTTGTAAATAATAGACGCTTTGAAAAAGTTGTTTGACAATGCTTTAGCTCCACTGACATTATATCTATGTTAAAAAACCTTGTGAAATTCTTGTAATAGCTAAATTAAAACATTTCTTCTCTTGACAATAGTTTGATGTATTTGCTTCCTGTTGCGTAAAATACACTCTCGAATTTTTAGGTCATTGGACATTCTTAAAATCATATGGAGGCCTTTGCATCAAAATACTTCCTTTAATTTGACTTCCTTGAACACATGCTTTTGGGATTTAACATTACAGATCATTGAAGTTAAGACTGAATTTAAGAATATTCCATAATTCTGCTTTATGTTACATTGTCAGCCACAATGGTTAAGGCTAGATGGAATACTGGTCTTCAACTGAGGATAGGAACATTTTGCCTGTGATGGCTATTAGGATTCAATAGAGCATTGATATTCACCATTCAGATTCAGAAATTACTAGTTCATGGCCTCAACGGTTTTCACAAACCTAGCCCAATATAAATCAGTGACTGAACCAGGAGTGTAGGAGAGAATGACAAGAAAAATACCTTGAAAATGAAAGTTTCATTGAAGGAAGGATTCAGAGTCTTTCGGTGGACTTTAGTTTCATATTTCTTCTTCTTATCAGGTAGCAAAAAGACCTTCACATAGGGATCAGATGTACCTCCAATATCTAGGGCAGGCAGTTCAGCCGCTTGAATAATCCCCACCACAAGCTGCAGTAAGACACAAAACAAAGAGGATTTAATAGACATTTCTACAGCAGGTCCATCATTTCTGGGAATGGTATTTAAAGCTTTTGTTCTTCTGAACTGAACTCAGAAGCTCCAGAGAATATTTAGATTGCACAGTCCACTCCATCTTCGTAGACCAGACAAAGTGGTAATTACATTTCCCATTACAGCTCTAAACACCTGAGCTGAACCAAGCCAGCTTTCTGTTTTCTAATGAAACAAATGAAATTAAAATTTGATAAATGCACCAGATCAGTGGAAAGTCAACCAGCTCACTACAGTCAGCCATGGTAACAAACCCCATTCAAATCATCGCCATAATTATGTTCTGGAAAGAAAAATGTCAGAAGCCAATACAGCAGCAGTTGATGCCATATTATTTTGAATGACAACTGCATAATTCAACTTAAATTTATTCTCTACAGATATTAACAACCGGTTTACTTTAGAAAAATAAACATTGCATACTTAATCAATGAGCATATTCCCCTGTGCTCAGTTGGATAAAAATGAAGATTCTTTCTAATAACTACCTACATTTTATTCATGTATTCACTTTGTTACAGAATAACATATCGTGCCTGATTTTCAACCCATTTTCCTCAATGTGAGTGGTGCTTAGTTCTGCATGTTAAGCTTTAAACTGATTCGTGCTTTGTTGTACAAACGTGCTATTTTTAAGTTTTTTTTTCGTGCCAGAACATTCAACAACAACAACTTGGATTTATATAGTACTCTCCACGCTGGACGGCGTCTCAGAGCGCTTCACAGTAATGGATCCCGGGGCCGAGCCAGGGGGAGGGGGAGGAAGGTGACCCAAGGCGCGGTCGAAAAGAAAGGTCTTTAGCCAAGACCTGAAAATAGGAAGAGAGAGAGCGAGGCAAAGGGAATGAGGAAGGGAGTTCCAGAGCCTCGGAACATAGTGGCTGAAGGCACGGCCGCCGAGAGTGGAGTGCAGGATTCGGGGGACAAGGAGGCGGCCAGTCCTGTAGGAACGAAGGCAACGGGCACTGTTTTGAGGAGAGAGGTCAGAGAGATAGTGGGGTGCAGAGGAGTGGAGGGATTTGAATACAAGGGTGAGGATCTTGCAGTCTGGCAAGGACTGGGGTAATCGGCGAGCGGAGTTTGGTGCAGAGTTTGAAAACATTCCTAGATATGCTGATCTTGTGCAGTGTAAAAACACTGTGCAACAAAACAAAAGGATTTTTTGGACATCACAGAGAAGCTGTGTTCAGAAAACTTGGGTATCTCTTGATGCTTTTGGCTACCTTTCCTATCCCCTCCTCCCAGCTCAGGTTATGTGAAGTGCTTTGAGACATCCTTTAAACTAAGCTCAAATTGTTGTTGTTTAGAGCAACGGCTGGTTGTGCTGTGAATGACTCTGCTTCTCAAAGGCCAATTCCAAGAAACCATTGGATTTCTGGCTTGCGGACAATGGCAATGAAATGCTGGTTCAAAGGATGATGACTGAACAAAACAAAGTATTCAGATTGAAGCTAATAATGCCAATCTGTAAACTGGACATTCAGTATGGGGCCCATCAGCTTGTCGGAGATATAATAATAATCCTTGTATTTGATACAGCACCTTATCAATCCTCAAGATGTCTCAAAGCATTTCACAGACTATACTATAGAGTAAATTGACTGCATATTTTGTGGGTGAAATGCGGCAGCCAATTGAGCACAGCAGTGTCACACAAACAGTTATGGATTGAAGGGACCAATTTATTATTATTTTATTATAAAGAATTATTACCCCTGAAAAACAGACTATTCTTGTATAGCCCCCCTGTACCACTTACAATACTGTATTTTTCTGAAAAAAAAGCGTATACTATATATTTTTGAGGTACAATACGGTACTTGGGCACCTGATTGTTCTGAAAGTCATAATCCAAAGAAAACTGTATTTTTCCAAGTTTCTCGACTTCTTTTTCTTCCTCTTTCCCTTCTTCAGTGAGGCCGGTCTCTGCATCATCATCATCATCCTTCACAGCCTGCAGACAGGGAAGGTACACTGTAATGATTGCTTGTTACGTCCAATGTAAATTCAAAGGTGAGGAGCTCGTCCCAGACTCTATTGAAAAGCTATTAGAAGCAGGCAGTAAATGCTTTAATCTTCATTAGGAATGGCACAACATAGGGTTTTTTTTCTTACTGTTACTGCTAACTAACAACAAGTGTGCAGTGGAAACTCCCGCCAAGCATCACAGGCAAGTCAAGTCGTTCAAATCAGTTGCAGCATCTTAAAACTCATGAGCACACTGTCGACTTGATATTAAAACAAATCCCTTTCTGACCAATGGTATTTTAATGTAAGAACTGTGGACGAACATGCTGTTGACAGGCAAGTCAGAGTGGTTTATGAGAAGTCAAGCCCAGCTCCACATGCAGTAACTAAAGTGGGACCCTTAGTTAAAATGATATCAAATAAGGTAGTTCTAACAGTTCTGAGAACCCCTGTTGTGCTTTTTAATGATAGCTAAACTAAAGCAACAGAGCTGTTACATGCCAGCTGTATATTTCTAAAGTAACCACAGGTCTCTCCTAAATGGTAATTCTAATTCAGAGTTACCAGGGGCATAGATGCACACATTTGAGCCTTTAGGATAATGGATGTTTCTCACTCATTAAAATATACAATATAAATTATTTTATTTTTGTGGCCATACTTTTACAATAATGTGGGGATATGTACAATGGCTTGTAACGTAGCTGACATTTACTGTAATTGTGTTCAAATCAGGACAGAGTTCTCAATCAAATTCTGTCTTTGGAATTAAACTATGTCAGGCTTAATTATGAATTTCCAATCTTGGCCCAATAGATATCACTGAGTTTGATGTTTCTTTGGACAGAGGATAAAGATGATCATGTTTAGGCGCTGAGGCACAATGCTCATCTGTCATTCCAGTCTGAGTTACTATCTACCTTCACAGTGGGGGTACTTTGAATCTGTGTGTGTGCGTGCGTGCAGCTTTTTTGGGGGGTACATCATTACAAGAGTCCTGTTGTTCCCAAAACTGCAGTTATTATCTCCCCAGACTTGAAGGGGAACTGGAAAATGACAGATTTCAGACCAATTTGTTCCCATTCAGCTGCTAGCAGTATAACTAGCAACTGGGTACTTTTTAAATCTGCATTTGAAAGGGTGTAGCTATTTCTCTTGACTATGCTTGCTGCCAAGCTAAATCAATCATTACTGTGAAATGCGACGATCAAGGCGTATAATACCACAGTGCTATATTTTATGTTCCATGCGTGAATATATTAAAATTGGGCATAAATGTGTCAACGGGCAAGGTCACAGCATTCATAAGAAGTGAATTCAATATTATACATAGCATGCGTCTTTATGTACAAAATGTGATAGCCACAAAAATAATTGAGAAAAGTAAGGAACTCATTACTGATGGCAAATTAATCCAGCTAATATGATTTCGCTTTCATTATTGTGTTTAGGATTTTTTTTGTGTGGGAATTTACGATTAAATCAACCATTATCCTAAAAGTCAAAAGTTGTTCGGTTCTGAATGTGCCAGAGAACTACTGATGAAAGCTGGAACCAGGTAGTCAAGATTCTTTATAGAGCATGAGATTATTATACACAGGTCAAAACAGTGAAAGAAACCTACCCCAATTGAAAATCCAGAACAGTCATGAGACACAACACAGATAAGGAAGGACATAGAAGGAAGAAATCAAAATTATGACAACCACAAACAAGCAGTAAATAAAGACACCGGAAAACCGTGGTGAAATGAGCTCAAAGCTTCCGTCAAATCAAGAACGTTATTGTTTTCACATGATTTGGAAGCTTTTTACCTTTTGTTTATCGCAATCAGAACGTAATGATGTGTTTGAACACAATTCGACCTAATATAATTTGAAGGAAGTAAATTGAGAATCATTTGGAATCTTTTAGAATGATATAAACATTGTGTGAAAAGGATTGATGTGCAGAAATTTACAAAGAGCCATTTCTCCAGGTTCTAAAACATTTACTTTATACAAAACTCAAAGGTTCAATTGGAGCATGTAAAAAATATTCCGTAGTCAACTTGAGAGAGAACCTTTAAGGATTCACATTATCTGCCTCAAACGATTGGCAAAATAACTCTGAAAACACGTTTGTACTTTCCAAGAAACAGCTTAGTGGAGGGGAAAGCTCTAGAAACATTTAGAGATCTTCATAAATAAACTTCACCCTTCACAAGAGCCATACATTATTGAAGGATGCACATATCTCAAAATGCTTCATTTGGTTTGTTCCCTTATTTATTGAAGCATAGCATCTTAAGCTCCAAGCTTCTCTTTAAAGCAGTCGTGAATGTACAAGTCTTTGCATTCCAATCTATACAGTCTGTTATTTCATGAATTAGAAATTATCTAACATGAATATCCAGAAAAGATCTCAAACCAATTAATGCCAACTTGTTGATGAATTGCTCAGATCCCAGGAGACAGACATGTATAGTTGTTCCCTTTTGTATTTTGCAAATTCCAAATGCTGCTTTAATGAGAATTATGCAGGAGGTGCTGATGGTGACTGGGGGTGAACATGCCCATCTCCTTTGCCTTTAATTGGACACATGCAAGAAATAAATATCTACATTCAGAAGTTCCCAAGGGCCATGTCTTGGCTTCTAAGGGATCACGAGCAGGGATTTTGTAGAGCAAGAAGAGCTCTGATGGAGGAGGTTGCTTGGACACTGAGAGTTCCCGTCATTAGTGGCTGCCCGAGGGAAAGCAAGTCACCCAGGAGAACAAGAGGCCGAACCTGCTGCTCAGTAAAACGATCCATGTTCACCAATGGACTGAGATTTAAACTCTTCATGTTACATGAATTGAGCTGTTAGTATCCAATGATTATGGGTTTCACATTGATATTGATTTAAAGGTGTAGTAGTGATGTTAAAAAATTTGAGTGTGTAGTAATATCACCATCCGAGAGAAAATGGTGTTTCGGGAAATTCAGTGAGTAAATTACTGCAACCGTACTGATTTGTACCCTAAGGTGCACAGCTCTGTGTGGGCACAGCCCCATAGCAAGAGCAGTGATTGCATATCTTAGGGGAAAGAAGACTGTTCGGATGGGAACAGCTGTTAAGAGTTACTGAGCAAGAGCAGAGCACGCAAATACCCTGAAACTGCAATACAAGCAGAACAATACAAAATCATATCCGGTGACATTTCAAACCACACAGTCTCTCTTCTTCAAGTTCCTTTAATGTTCCCTGATAAATTCAACCTGACTGGAATAAAATTCTTTCACCTAGACCTTGAAATGAGAGATTGCACAACATCATCATCATAATAATATTAATGGTTCAGAAGCCTTATTGATTAACTGTTAGGAGATAATGTATGCAAAGTGAGATTGAGACTTGGAACTGGCAAAACCAGGCTTGCTACATTTACTATTTGCCCCAGAATAGTTTTTTTTAACGGGTCTATTATCAATGTCAACATGTGGTTGAATCCCTCTCAAATTAATTTTTAATAGGGGGGTAAGAGAAAAGGTGACGTTTATTGAAATATGACTTGAGCACTCATCTTTCTTTGTTATCATGTGAAAATCTAGACTGAATTGGTGAAGGATGGGATTCTACCTCTTGATGTTGCTGGGTCACATGTTAAAGTTACATAGTGCAGTTAACTGCTGTGTGATAGCTCACCCAACTCCCAGCAGTTCTTACTGAATTGACATCTGAGTCTGATCAAGTCTGCTTTCCTCCATCTCTGCAATATCTCACCATCTTGCCCCACTATTTCACCACCAATGCAATCTCTAAAAACTTCCATGTCTTTGTCACCTCCAGACTCAAATCTTCCAATGTCCTGCTCGCCCACTTCCCTACCGATACCTTCCACAAGCTAAACATCACCTGTTCTGCACGCTCTCCTGCACTAGTTACAGGTTATACTACCTTTTGGCAGACACAAAACTCATCTCAGTGCCCATCATGAAGGGGGGGTAAATTCAGAACAAATCTGCGGAAACTACTTCAGTGAGCGAGTAGTGAACTTATGATACAGGTTCCCTTATGGAACAGTGGAAACAGAAAGTGTCGATTCTTTCAAAAACAAATTAGATAGATTTCTGATAGGAAATAATAGCTCTGGGTATAGTGTATAGTTTGGGACATGACATGTGCATGCGACTGCCAGGATGGTGGAAAGCGAAGTGGATGGACCTTTGTCTTCTTTCGTCGAGCAAATTCTTATGTTCTTATGTTCTTATCTCTTGGGAACCGTATTCTACGGTATGCTGTGCTTCGTGCAGAAAATGAAACTTGTTTTCTCCATGGAAAATATTTGATTTTCAATTACATTTGATATTATCGGATGTAATCTTAAGTGGGTTTGATTGCGTAAATGAAATGGCAATTGAATAGTTATATATATGTACGAAATACAAGGCAATTTTTGTATTGACCTCAAATAAAAATAGCAAGCCTGGTACTTCAGTCTGGTTCCCCTTACAGACATGCACTCTGTCAGTAAAATATTTATATCTTTATTATTTAATAATTGTGCCTCAAGTTTATCTGACAGAACCCATGTTCGTGTGGGACATGGGACGGAAGTAACGTCACTAGACTCAATTTAATTAAGATGCACCGTTCTAAAATGTTCAGGCAGGAAGCCGAGCATTAAATAAATGAATTAAACACTTAATATACTAACCACAACAATGCAAACCATTTCAATTCTCTTCGTACAAAATCGTACAAAATGATTCACCATAACGACTAAAAGAAGAGTGAACAATATATTTTTTTAACATGATCATTGAGTTAAAATTGACAGTACTTAAAAGCATGATACATTGCCAGGGGCCAGATTCTGGAAGAATGTACTTTAGCACACAATTCCATGCGTACTCAATCCCCAAAGGTCCCCTGTCTCCCAGTTTAGCACGTATGCACTATTTGAAGGGGAATTGCTTTACAGAAAATCAGGCCTGTGTTTTCACAACCAATGGAGGCACGTACAGGCTCAATCTCTCCTAGATGACAAAGTTTTTCCAATGGTACATAGCCCTCTAACAAAAAAAGAACGCTGACAAAAGAAAACTTTAAAACCAACATTTCGATCGTGTGCTGGAAGATATTATGGAATGAGTTTTGTAAGATTGAGTCCAGCTGCGTCTAATTTTAAAAGGTTCACAGCCCTTGCCTTCTGTGCTTTCCCAGCACCAGTGAATAGCTGTGAGGGTGATTTAAGTGGCCACGTGAGATTGAAGTGGCTCCTGAAGGGGATATTCCTTATCAACAGTGCAGGTCAGTACATTCCAGAATCCTTGTCCAGGTCTTTCTTTCGGTCTATGAACCATGTTAAATTCCTGCTTAAAAAGCACAGTACATAATAATAATAATAATCCTTGCATTTGATATAGCGCTTTTCATGTCGGGAGGACGTCCCAAAGCGCTTCACAGAACACACTGTAAAGTGAATTGACTGTATATTTGTGGGTGAACGCGGCAGCCAATTGCGCACAGCAATGTCCCACAAACAGTCGTAGATTGAAAATGACCAATTTATTATTGTTTTTGGTTTTGGAGGGATTATTATTAGGGTGTGGAGTAAGGAAACTTGCCCAAGGTTTGGCCCTGCCTGGAATTGAACTCAGGTCTTTCGCTTGCAAAGTGAGTGCTCTAACCACTGAGCTACAGGACTCCACAATAATCTTGAGATACACAGGATACTTGATAGGACACATTGAACCACAGAATTAATTTTGTCAGTGAGATTGATCTGATCATTCATAAGCAGTTAAAAAAAAGCAAGCAAGTGGTTGAGGCTTTCTTCCTATGTAAAGGGAAGATTCTCCCGACAGTGTTCCATTATGCGTTGTTAATATCACAAGCATGATTCATTATTTAAACTGTTTATTATCCACCCACCAAACTGACCGGTCTTTGAAGGGTGCTTTAATACATTGTGAGATTTATATTTTAATTCTTTACAAGACAATGACCATCAATTGAGAACTCACTCGCTGGTGACGAATGATGTTCAGGGAGCATTTCCATCCAGTACCGAAACATACTGAATTGTCGAGTTACTTCAAGGCTTTATCTCTATGGCTTGAAAGGAAAACAGTACGTTTTCAAATACTTTTTGGAGTTTGCCAACTGTGAGTTGTGGAATTACAATCTAGGGAACAAAACGCTAATGAGAAGTGATAACCCCAGATACTGATGGAGCAACATTTATTTGAAAGGACCCTTGCATATTTATAAATCTTCAATACAGATTGTGGAGATCTTGGTAGGTTGAGTTCTAGCAGTCTAGCTCTATGACTCAGTGATGAAAAACAATGCTATCTCAAGCCATGAAATAAGATTAGCTTTGATCTTTGCGAAGTGATTTTCAAGATGGTGAACAAACAGCTGTGGAGATATGAAAAGGAAGGGAGTAGCGGATTTTTTGTTCCAGATGTTATCCTGTAGCTATGCTGAGGAAAAAAAATCCATTGAGTTAAAGTCCACATGAGAGGTTGAATGATGAATCTGATACTGTGTAATTTAAGTACATTAGAAGCAGCATTATAATGATGCGGAAATTCAGAAAGCATTGATTTCAAAAGCACTTGCTAGGTATGGCATGGTAACAAAGGAAAATCAGCGTTAATGTTAGAAATTGCGTTAAATAATTAAAGCAGGATTAATAAAGTACGCTCATTGCTTAGGACATCCAGATCAGGTTAGATTCTTGAAAGCCATGACAAAAGTTTGCAAAAGCCAAAGAACATTAGTAACAAAAGGAACAGCGATGGCAATAAAAATGTCACATTTTTGTCTAGGTTTTCAAGTCTTCTGCAGGTACCATCTGGTGCTGATGTCAACTGACTCTATACAATGAGTCAAGCAAATCAATGCTTCAGAGTTTTGTTTGTGATGTTTTGCCAATTTGTAGAACAATTTTTAGATGCAAAGCTGTAACTAAATATTTATCTACTAATTAAATATGGAATTTGAAAATCGCAAACGCTCATAGTTGAATTGCGTTAACATTCTATTTGCTGTCGTAGAAACACATATTGACCAACGAAAACATTTTTAAACTTATTTTCTAGGTTTATTATTCACAAACATTGTTCCTTTTCTACTTTACCTGGTCTTTCATGGATTTTCCCATTTCTTTTACATCTTTCATGTTAATAGCATTCTTTCCTCCCTTTTCTTTGCCCTTCTTTTTGTTCTTCTTCTTAAATAGGCATTTCTTACAGATGCAGAAGCAGCATGTAAGAATCAAAAGGACAGCAACAATGGCTATAGCTATCAAGGCCCATGGTGGCACTGGAAAACACAAACACAATCTGTGTACTAATCAACAATGCCAATGAACATAAAAGCCAAGCTCACCGAGCACTTGTAGTGCGTATTATATTGTTACCAGATTTAGACATGTTTCCAAACGTGGTCTTATTTTGTGAAGCTTGTGACCTCTCGATTAGGAAACAATTGTGGGAAAATTCATTACAAAACACTCAGCATTCATGATTTACAAACTGTACAACCTAAAGTTCAGAGCTCTGTCATATTTTGCATACTCTGTAAGCTTTGTAACAGTGCTAAAATAAATCAGCGACACACATGCTGTTTTTGTTTCATTTAGCAGTTCCCAAAGTTATTTTGTCGCTGTTGGCTTTGCCTGCTGATTGCATGTCAAAGTCTGACATGTTATGTCTTTCCGAACAATGCTTTCAGTGTGTAGAGATATGCACAGAAGATAAAACCTTCAGTTAGTCTCTGATTCTATTGCTAATGGCTTTCTCCTCTCCTGAAGCACTGACCTCTGCTGGGATACAGTTCCACATGTGGCTGGTTTCGCTCCAACACTTTGCAAAGTGACCATTCTGAACATAATTTCTACCTTTTTCGCTACTCTGCTTATCCGGATGACCAGCAGTCCTTCCTAAACAATTGCTACTGTCTAAAAAATAAGCAGTGGAGATTCATTTATGTCAGTATTCTTATTTTTCTTTTGTTGCATATAACTGTGAGATATTCTTGTTTATTCATGAAGTCAGATTAAATTCTCCGTGTAGTGTGGGTAAATGGTACTGCTAGTCCCTCCAGCTCCCCTTCTCATCTCGTCTCAATTCAAATGAACACACTATGCAAACCAGTGATTCAAATGATTGAAATATAAAGTGCCAGCATAAGTGGCTATAAAACTACAAGTGTGCCATTTTGTGTGATCTCTGTGCTGCCTTCTTGAATAAATAACTTTTGCATTGAAGCACCTTCACAATTGTCATGTTTTGTCTTTATTCAGCTGCCTTTGGCTTTTTGACAGAATGCAGGAAAGGTATGATAAATGGGGTAATGTGTATTTCTTTGGTTGTATTTCGCTTTGGACAATATGCAGAGGATTATATACACATGGAAATCTTTAAACAGCAAAATAATAAGTTTTATTCAGTGGCTGAAAATATGTGGGGGTCTCTGCATCACATTGAGGTCCTGCAGAACGCCAGAGAAGCTACGCTGGGGATATTCAATGGACGGGCTCTTCTATCAGATTTATCGTCAGAATAAATAGAGTTAACTACACTTTATGCATTAAACTATTGTTACACATTTCCTTTCTTGTACCAAAAAAACTGTGTAATACAGAGCAACCAAATCTATAAATAGGACAGAGCAGCAGCCCAAATGGTATATTAGCAATATTATTATAAATGTATGTCTCATTTTTAGGCACAGAAGTTGAGTGGAAGGGAGAAGCTGGGCACAGGCATCCAATGCTCTGTGAGATCACTCCACCTGATATTCTTGAATAAAGGTGGTGGATATACAAGTGTGTGAGCATAAGGTAGGTGTAAAGTGTAACAACAACAACTGCTTGCATTTACGTAGCATAGCGCCTCTCAGGCAGGGCAGGTCCCAGAGTGCAAGCCAAAATACAAGGCTATTCTTGTGCTGTAGTGCAGATAGTCACTATTAACAACAATATGGCTTATAATTGTGGAAAATATCCAAGACAAAGCCAAGTGCTGTAGAGATAGATTCATTTGAGCTCAGTTGACTATGGAACCAGTGGCTAGATAGGATATGAGCCTGTCTAACCTCTCAATTAAGACAGAGCAGGTGGGCGTGCTAGTTGACACAGTCTCCTTGGATGCCAGATAAAAACATTGCATAAGAAAGAAGCAGGGTCATTCATTCATACTGTTGGCAAGATTTAGGTTTAAATCTAAGTTTATAGTTTGCACTGAGACAGTAGGTTTCTCCCAAAGCTCCATTTACTGAAAATGAAGACATATCTCCAGCCTTTGATCCTGGCAGAGGTTCATTTCTGTACAACCTTTGCCATCCTTTTCCGTTAAAATTGTATTTCAGTGTTTTACTGCATAGCCGTCCAAGCTTATTTCCTTATGGAGCTGCCTTGTAGAAAGGCACAGGGGTATAGAATAAGAATTGTCCATCTGCCAATTATACCCTGCTGCTGGGAAGAAATCTTTGACAATTCATCCTTAGCCATGGAGAGTTGCCAATATATCTTTAAATCAAATGAAATGGAGCAAATCTCAAAGATTCCCTCTGTCAAAATTCCTCCATGGGAGTTGGCAGGGATGCTATTTGAATGATCTCCCTGAGGAAAACTGAACCTGCAGATTAGCATGCTCCTGACTTTCATAACACAATAAATCTGACCCATGCTTTCTTCTTGAGATACACAGTGAACCATCATGATAGTTTGATGGATAAGAGATCCATGAAGATGATGTGAATGGTCAATATTAGCTACTGTTTACAAACGTGCCTTCAATTTGTAACCAGATCTCAGATTAGCCTGGGCTGCTTAGTTAAGATAAAATTATATTCTGTAGAAACATTTTTTTTCAACTCTTGCTGTGGAGTCCTGTATTTTCATGCAAATGCAATGAATTGTTCTTGCTTTGATTATTTTAATAAAGGCGTAAGCCACTATCATATAATTTCCAAGACCAACTTCTTTTGCAGAAATATTTTCAAGCTCAAATAGGGTGAAAATATTGGAGACACAATATACAGTATATACAGTATTTTTTTTGGGGGGCAGCTAGATATCTGACATATTTGTAATACTTAAAAGTATTCAAATCAGACTGAGAGTTCCATATATATATATATATATATATATATATATAGAAACATGCACATGGAAATTTCCCTGAATCTGGAATAGTATGTGTACTATGTGTACTGCTCACCGAAATCCTGAATATTAGGCATAGGACTGTGTTGGGATACTGCTGCAGTTTAAACAGCTAAAACCAAATAGCTTGCCAATGCAAACACTGTCTGGCAAGCTTTCTGTTATTTGTTCAGCTGGGACCATCCCACCCGATAGATCTAGCAGGGTTAATAAGAGTCAAGTGGGAAGAATCTCTTCCTAATGACTAGTTTGTCTCCTCAAAGGACGGATGAGTCCTTTGACTAGTCTGTCATCAACAGTGCCTTGAAGTGTAGTGGATCTGCTGGAGTTAAGTGGACCTGCCTGATTTAAGATTTGGATAACAAGACTGGCACAGAGGGTTGACTTGAATCTAATATTCGATTGGCAAGCATGTCACCTTGGGTAGTAGGATAGCCTCAGTTTTGTCAATGTTAAATTGGGAAAAGTTGAGATACATCCAGAACTTGATGTCTGATAGGCATTCTGGAATCAAAGGTAAAGGCAGAAAAGCAGAGTTGGGCATCTTCTGTGTATAGGTAGAAGTTAATCCCATTCCTGCAATTATGTCACCAAGCAGCAGCATATAGTTGAGTACAAGGTCTCATGGTACTGAATTAGATATTTATTTAACATTCTGATTGCGTCAAGAAAACAATGGTACACACAAAGTTGATTGCAATAGAAAAAGAGAAATGAGCTTTATGTAAGATCAGAATTATCCAGGAACATTAGCATAAACTTGTTCCAAAAGGTGATGCTTGACATGAAACATCGTATTGGAGGAAACCTTTACAAAATGAGCAGTGACACTATCAGTACTCCAGTCAAGGGCGATTGATAGATTCAAAAGAAATAAAAGATTATCAAGGGAAAGAGAGTTCAAAAGAAGTCTTGCTTGAGACCTATTTAAAGTGTTAAAAAGTGACAGGAAATGCACACGAGTATTACTATAGTCACAGGTCTGTATTTATCATTATTCAGAAGCTAAAACTCTACAGAGAATTCATAAACACATGTAATAACTAGATAATTGAGTTAATAAGCATTCTGACATGTTTCTATTTAGCTCGTAAAACAATATTTATTAACAGTATGCTTTTCTGTGTTGTTTAACAATCTTTCGACAAGGTTTATTTTAAATAGCTTGCCATATCTTTAGCTTCTCAGAACAGATGAATTGAAATAATCCTTGCATTTGATATAGCGCCTTATCACAGTTTTTTTCTGCCTGTGATTTGTTAATTTATTTACAGTGATTCGTAAGTACTGTATATTTCTCCCAACGATTGTCATGGGATATCAGTGGCTTTGCCTATAATGTTCTGCTTGTAAGTGAACAGATTTGGTGAGCTTTCCTTGATTGCTCTATTTTCTGGTATGAAAAATGAATGCAAGAAAGGTAAGGAAAGTGTCTGAAAAATCTGAGCAATTCTCTCCGCAATTATATCATACATATTTATGAGGCAATTGTGTTAATCTTTAGATGTAAGTGTGTTAAGTAATGGAAATGAGGGCTGAGTGGATTTATTAAGCCTCTGCAACAATAACGAGAGGTTGATGCAACTGCTATTTTGGCCAAATCATTGACTGTCTACTTAATTTATCTTTTTGACCTTTCTTTGAATGTTCTTCTACCTGCCTGACTTCCAACTCTGTGTTAAGTTGTTTTTAAAAAGCCATTATGTATAATATTCGGTATCCAGACCAGTTTCCCCCACTTTGTACCATTTCCATTCGCGGTGCCAAACATAATGTTTCAGGTTGTCTCTGCAGTAAATTGAAAATATTTGAACTTATAGTGGTTGTTACATTAACTTCATCTCTTTTTTGCATTGCCGTGATTGCTATTTTAGAATCAGAACTACAAACAGCTAGGTTGTCCCATCTTACATTTAATACAACTTGCCAGTTGTCTTTTTCCGCTAGAAAACCTAGAATCATAGAATATTAAAGCACAGAAGGAGGCCATTTGGCCCATCGTGTCTGTGCCAGCTCTTTGAAAAGAACTATCCAAATCAACATTAAAGGTGTTAAACATTCTATCTGTTTTTATCAGTTTAAAACTCCTAGTTATTGCACATGGTATATATCTTGCATCTAGATTTTTTAATTCCATAGTTTTCATTATGTT